CGGTTTGCTCGCGTTCGGTATCGCGCATATGGATGGTGTTGGCGGGCTTGCTGGGTGGCGGTGGATATTTATCCTCGAAGGCATCCTGACTGTCCTCGTCGCTTTGCTTGCGTACTTCGTGCTCTTCGACTTCCCTGAAACCGCGACGTTCCTGACGCCCGAGGAGCGGGCGTTTGTGGTGTACCGGTTGAAGTACCAAGGCCAAGCAGAGGAAGAAAGGGAGGGGGCCCAGGGGCGGGTGAGCCAGGACGATAGCTTCCAGTGGAAGTATGTGAAGGCTGCGTTTCTGGACTGGCAAATTTGGTTGAACGTGTGGGTCTACTGGGGAATCGTGGCCCCCCTCTACGGCATATCGCTGTAAGTATCAATCTCATCAGCTGAGGATTCTTCTCACTTTCTACAGGTTCTTGCCTACCATTATCAAGGGGCTGGGCTACACGAGCTCGACGGCGCAACTATTGACCGTCCCGATCTACATCACCGCGGCGGTGCTAGCAATCGCAGTGGCGTACGCGAGCGATCGATATGGGAAGCGGTCGCCGTTCATCTTGGTGTGCTTATGCATCATGGCGGTGGGGTTCATCATGTGTATCGCAAGCCCCAAACCAGGCGTGGTCTACGCGGGGGTGTTTATCGCGGCCGCGGCCCTCTATCCAGCGTTCCCGGGAAATATCACGTGGCTGAGTAATAATTTGGCAGGGAGCACCAAGAGGGCTACGGGTCAAGCGCTGCAGATTGCATTAGGGAATTTGGCGGGCGGTGAGTTTGATTGCTATCCTACCCAGTGTCGAGAAAAGAGCCTTCACTGACATTATTCGCAGCTATGGCATCCAACTTTTACAGGTCGAAGGATGCTCCGCATTATAAGCTTGGTCATGCCCTAGAGCTTGCTTTTATTGTTGCTGGTATCCTTGCACTTCTTCTGATAGTGTTCAACTATCGTCGTATTAACGCCAAGAGGGAACGGCAGTTGGCTGAAGGGGGACATGCGGGATATTCGCCGGAAGAGCTGAGTGCGCTGGGTGATCGAGCGATGACCTTCAGGTACATGTTATGATCTGGTCCGTTGGATATTAAGGCTGAGGAGAAGTTACTTACATTCTTGGAGACCGCATTCAAATGCCGTACCTTACCACAACTCTGTGCACCGCTGTCCACCACTGTTTGGGTGCCCCTAGAGGCTTTCGAAATTCCAGACACGATGTAAACTGCAGTGCTGCGCAAACTGGGCTGCCTCTTCACTCACCAGCCGCAAGCCATCTAGGGTACTTCTGACGGCGGTATCAAGTGAGCAAAGAGAAGCCTATGGAGAGGTGGTTTCAAAGCAGCCGTCGCACCAGTCGTGATGTTCGTTATCAGTCATGAGAGCCATCCACTCATCAGTAGTCCAGAATTCCAGTTTCACCAGTGAGCTCCGCGTCCATATCAACGCCCATATCCAGATCATCGTCAGGAGCGTCCAGATAAGCGTCCTGCATCTCACGCTCCGCCTCGGGGTCATCGTACGCCGGGTTCTCATCAACCGTCTTATAGTTGAATTGATCATCCTCGCCGCGTATGAAGCGCCACCTCATCTCGAAGCGCCAGGCCTCCAGCGCTTCCTCCTGGTCCATCTCTTCACCTTTGTCTGCAGACACAATCACCCCATTTGTCTGGCGGTAGTATACGAAGTCGTGCTTTGGGTTCGGGTTTTTGACCGCTTCAGCCTTGGCCTCGGAGCGCAAGAGGTCGGCTTCGAGGGCGTCCGCGAAGCCTTTGGCTGTGTCTGCGGCTACGTTCTCGGCGGGAGTGTAGAAACGGCGGATTAAGTGGTCATATAGGAGGACATCGGCTAGCTCTAGCTCGTGGTTGAAGTACGCAGGGTTCAGGTCAAGATATCGACGACGGCGTGTCTTGAGCCTTAAGTACTGCTGGGCGCTGATTTGGGTGTTATTGCTCTGCTCCGGGTTGCCCTGCGCGTTGCTCTCGGCGCGGGGACGCATCGGGAGCGAAATCTCCATGTTCTCCATGTTCTCCATATTCTCCACGGCTAGTACCCGTCCTGGTGGAAAGTAGGGCATTGTGCGAAGTAGCGACGGCGGTGGTGGGGAGAGTGACGGCGAGCTTCGAAGATATGTCAACGCGACCGGACTAGCCTACTTCGCACTAGTACATATCATCCCCTGCTAGTATTGCACGTGACTCTAGAGCCAGAGGCATATGCGCAGGTCACCGTTTGAGGTAGCTCAATGGGTCGAAAGAATTTTAAGGTCGATCTAAAGATCAGCACTGTGTAATTCAGCCTACCTCCTAACATACCAGCTATCAGCTGGCTAGGCCACTCCTCACAGTGGTGAAAGAACCCTCAATAACCTCACTAATCCCTGCCAACCCACTAAGCCTGATCCGTGACGGCTCGAGCCCCCCGCGACTTCAACATCATGTGTTTCCATCTGCTCTGAAACAACCGCCGTGAGAGCCTTCATGCTGCGTCTTTCTCTTCGTGTCCCATCTCCTCTTCTTCCCTCGTCTCTATTCTCCTTCGTGCGTGAAATCCACGCGTCCTGAGAGACCTATTTCACTTGAACAATGGTTTTCTGATCTCCTCACGGCAACACGGACCGCTGAGACGCGAGAGGCGCTTTTTGGTCATATTTTCCTTTAAAGGTGTTGAGGATTTCGCTCACATTACTTCCAATCTCTCTTATCCCACCTTCTTTATTCACCTCGTTCGTACCATTCTCCTACCTCTCCTAGTACAAGCATATCGACAGTCACAATGACAAAGACACCACGAAAGCCTAAGGCTGCGAAGGAAGCCGAGAAGAATGCCCGGACTGTGTCCACGCCAGTCCTCCTAAAGAATGTCGGTCGAGCTGCGGCTTTGTTGATACTTGCTGGCATCTCTTCTCCGGTCTCACAACTCAGTTTATCCCCCGTCTATGGATCAATTCCATCAGCATTGTTTCACCAAAGGGCAATCACGGTGACAGCATTACTGGCGTTCATCGCTAAAGGGCCCCTGAAACGATACTTCCCGTCCAACATCAGCGATTACATTGCCATCATCGCCTACTGGATACCAGTGATCCAATTCTTGCTGTTTCCGTACAGCTCTAAGATGGGGCCCGAGTTTGGACCTTTCATCACGGAGCTTGTCACTTATCTACCCCTTTTGTTTCTCTCGGTTCACTCCGCTGGCGAACTGTTGGAGAGCATAGACCTAAGTCAGCTGCACCCCACTATTGCGGAGATGGCACCTGCTGTGGGGTCTTATGTCACGGTTACGACCATATCAAAGCTCTTTACATCAATCTTGCCGCAATACATCGGAACGCACCTATCTTTCACTCGTCTCGGACTTCAAATGGGCATGGGGTCAGCGTTAGCCTTCGTATCCCCATCTCGTCTGATTCTTCTGGCTGTACCGGCGATCATCCATACCATGAGAGCAAACCCACATTACACATCCGAGCGAGCCGTTCAATTGGCAAACAGCACGCTACAAGTGCAGAACTTCACCCTACTGGATCGCCAGGAGTCCTTGACTGGCTACATCTCAGTAGTGGAAGGTCAAGACAGCGGTTTCAGAGTCTTGAGATGTGATCACAGCTTGCTGGGAGGAGAGTGGCTCGTGACTCCTGAGAGAGCTGCTCAGGGGCAGGTTATACCTGAGCCAATATTCTCGGTATTTGCGATGCTAGAGGCTGTGAGACTCATGGAGATCGGAGACGACTCATTGAAAATTGAGACGAGGCCTGATACTCAGAAGAGCGCTTTAGTTATGTATGGATTTTCATCTATCATCTCAATGACATTCCCATCAAAAACACGATTCTAACCTGACAAAAGCGGTCTTGGCATCGGTACAGCACCCAACTCGCTCATCTCACACAACATCAACACCACGATCGTTGAGCTCGATCCAGTTGTCCACCATTTCGCCACAAAATACTTCAATCTCTCCAAGAACCACACCGCCGTGATTGACGACGCAGTCTTCTACGTAGAGGAGAAGTCCCACACGAATCCAGGCAGTTTCGACTACATCATTCATGATGTGTTCACGGGCGGTGCAGAACCAGTGATGTTATTTACTCTCGAGTTCCTCGAAGGATTAAAGAAGCTACTGACCGAAGACGGTGTCGTTGCTATCGTATGTCCCCACGCTCTCCGACTGTAATACTTTCGTAAATACTAAGCCTGCAGAACTACGCCGGCGACCTCTCCCTAGACTCCACCATCCTCATCATCACCACTATCCACGCCGCCTTCCCCGCCTGCCGCCTCTTCCGCGACAATCCCGCACCAGTCCCCAACCAACCCTGGAAGCCCGACTTCGTCAATATGGTTGTCTTCTGCGCCAAGAACGATCTCGGGAAAGGGCGCGCCGCCATCCACTTTCGCGAACCGACGGAGGACGACTTCAGAGGTAGTCTCGCGAAGAGAGCGCACTTGATGCCTCAAGCTAAGTTAGAAATCGGGTTCGGGCTTGAAGTTGATAGAGAGAAGGTGCTGAAGAGGGGCGAGACAGCAAAGCTAGAACAGTTTCAGAACAAGGGGGCGCTAAGTCACTGGAGGATCATGCGAACGGTATTGCCAGATGCAGTATGGGAGATGTGGTGAGCGATTCGGAGATGAGGTTTGTGAAGGGTGCGGAAAGCATTTCTTGGTATCACTCAGGATGCAGTTTCATAGCGTGGTATGTTTCAATTTCGTCACAAAAGTTCGAATCTAATTCATTCAAATATCTTCAAAATCTGAGTTTCCATGAACACACCGCCGGCCTTAATGACAGCAGTCCCCTCCCCACAAAAAAAAGATTTCACGTCCCCACATCTCGCCTCGCCTAGAGTTCTTAGCCCCGTTCTTCTAGCTGAAAACCCACCAATTCAGCTCCGCTTACTTGACAGGATCAGCCGCACCATTCACCCCAGGTTTACCCGCCCAATCAGCGTCTGCCAGCAAAAAAAGAGCCCACAATGCCGGAGCAAAAAGAAAAGCATGCTGGTGCTATGCGTTCTCGCCTCGCGGAATCGAACCGCGGACCTTCAGGTATGATGCGCAATTACAGCCCGACGTGATAAACCAACTACACCAAGGCGAGAGTTTTAGTATGGAAGAGTGCGGGAATATATTGATCTATGTATGTGTACTCGTCCTCTGACCGACCATCGTGGCATGTGCAGGCTTGATCGGTGAACTAAGAATTCAAGTATGAAGATAGGCTATGGGTGTGTGTATGTAAATTGAGCTGAAAAATACTAAGACCAATGCGTGTCTGCACCCTGTGCTTGTAAGTCGAGCTGAGAACTGCCAAGTGCATGCTGATTGGTCACAGATCCCAAACTCTCCATCCTACAGCTAGGCATATTCCCCCGCTCCAATTGATGATGACGGCGGACGGACAATGGGACTGTCACTACCTCTTTATCTCTCTTGTCCGCGATCCCCTTCATACCATTGCGGGAGGGCATTGTCGCTTTGTCCTCCCGCCCATTCCACCATCACAAGAGGATATGACAATGCCTTTGTCGAGCAACAAAGGCGAAGTAGGCCTGCTATTTAGCCAACTACTCCGCCATCATGGTACGAGGATTCTCGAGACACGATAGCTTACTGCTGGCATACATTATTTCCTTAGACTTCAGTACGCTGGCCGTGCTACTATACCTATTTTCGAGAAGTACGCCTTTTCCAACCCTATATCACACTGATACACTATAGATATATCGCACTGTCAAGAAAGAGAAGCGGATTATACATCATGGTCGACCGAACCCCCCGCCCAAAGCGCGAGAACGTGAAAAAGCCACAGAAATATCGCGAAGAAGAGACAGCTGAGAAGCCCCCCGTAAAGAAAACGATACTGAAGAAGAAGTATCCGAATGAGGCTAAGAGGCTTGAGGCAGAGGCAGAGGCAGCGGCAGCGAAGGGGACTGCGGCTCCGAAGAGGGCTCCGACTGCGAGAAAGGCTCCGGTTGCGAGGAAGGCGCCGGTTGCGAAAGAGGCTACACAGGAAGTTGTTTCTGTAGGCTCAGAGGGCAGCGATGCTGTTGTAAGTGAGAGAGATGGCAGTGCTACGGCTAACTCTATACCACGGAATGACGATACTCCAGGTCTTGTTGAAGGCGAGGGAGCTGGCACGGTTATAGCTAGCTCTATCCCACAGGTCGACGAAGCTATTGAAGCTAATGGAGATGCCGCCAATGGCGGCGAAGGGGCAACCCCGGAGAAGTCTGTATCAAGCGGCTCTAGGGTTGAATCTGCCACGGAGGAAACCGGTGACAGTGGCAACGGTGAACAGCCAGGTGATGGATCCAAGAAGAATGGTAAGAAGAATGGCAACGGACGACCTCCCCGGAAAAGCGAGAGAACAAAGCGACCGCGTCCCGCTGATGAGGAAGACGACCATGAATGTCCCTCGAAAAGGGTCAAGTACTTTTACGCCGCGCAGGCGAGCACTATTGTCTCGAATAGCAATGGTACGCGGCCGATCCAGCAAAACGAGATGACCTACGAGTGGACTCAGGCTGAGCGCAAGAAGTTAGGCAGGGTAGAAGCTTGGTGGGGTCCCCCGGAGGCTCCCGAGGGCAAAGAGTGGTTTAGAACATATCTGCCGGCGCCGCAACGCCATGGGCCCGAGAGCGTGCTGGAACTGCTGTATGCCGACCCCATGGATCCTGAGCGTTTGTGTGAAGGTAGGTGGTGCTGGGGGAATAGGACGAAAGGTTGTGCAGACCCGACATGCTCACACACTCTAACAGAGTGGCTCGAAGGCGCGGCAGACTGGCAAGAGAGATTTGAGATTCGTAACTCCGAAATCCTCCGAATGGGGTTCTGCGTTTACTCTAAATGCAGGTGGGAAAAAGACCAAACCCTCGGAGCGTACCTGGGAGAGATCATTCCCCAAAAGCCAAAGGACGCGAGTTACGTTATGGAGCTGCCAATTGGATCCAGATACGACAGGGCAAGTAGGAACACAGGTTACAGCAAGGGTCCGACATTCAAAGAGGGCTCAAGAAGACAAGTATATGTCGACTCCGAAAGGAGAGGGAACTGGGCAAGGTTTTTGAATCACAGTTGCAAGCCAAACGCCATAATTGTTCAGGCTAGGGTTGGCTATACTGCTTTTGTGGCTATCCATGCTCTGGAAACGATCATGAAGGGAGAGCAGATAACGATTGACTACGGAGATGACTATTTCACTCAAAAGATCTCGTGTGGATGCGGAGAAGTCGGCTGCAAATACACCAAGGAGAAACTGATCGAGAAGGCGGACAAAGATAAAAGTAATGGCAATAAGAATAACGGCAGGGCAGGAAATGGAGGGGGCGATGAGGCTGGAGAGGGTCCTGGCGGTGCGTTAGATGATCCACCACCTCCTCCCAACCAGACCGGAAAGCGGAAAGTAAGAGCTCCTAAGAAGGCCAACGGACCTAGCGATGGCCCAGTAGCTAATGGTGGTAATGGTGACCAAAACGGTAGGCCTGAACAGACTAATGAAGAGCCAATAGAAGCTCCCAGACCTGAGGCAGTCAATGACGCTAGTAGGAATATACCGAACAGGGAAGTGTCGGCGAATTCGACAACAGTCGACGAGTCCACAGTTGAAGAGCCTGCGGAAGCTCCCGAGCCCAGGACAGTAGAAAGGCCCAGGGAAGACCAGGAGCATGCTGAGAAGGGAATCAGGTCGGCAGATAAGAATAAGGAGACCGAAGAGGAAAACGAAGCCAGTAGTGAAAGACGTATTCCAGAAAAGGTGGACAGAGCCCGTCTTAAGGCCGAACTAGCAAAGGCGTACCCCAATTGGCCCAACAAAAAACTCCAGAAAGCTAGCACCGAGTCCCTACAAGTGTGGCTTAGAGGAGCGAACAATCAACCTAGCAGTTCCGGCTCTGCAAACGTGGGACTCGGTCGTGTAGCTGAAGGTAGAGTAAGCAAGGAGCGTAGCAGGTCTCCCCCTAAGAAAAGGAAAGGGGGGCCGAAGAAGTAGGAAGCGCTTTGATACGTAAGTGTGGGAGGGTATTGGGATTTCGTGAATACCGCCTATTGAATAGTAGTTCGTTTATACACCTGCATCTCCTTCTAATTGATATGCATAGTGCATTTTTATGTTTAACTTATCGTATCATTCGCATCTGGAACCCTACATCCGTCAACTGTGATCATAAATATCAGGCGCCATCTCGTTCTCTTGCAAATGTTAGTTGTTAGTTCACGTGTTGATCATCGTTCTTTGTTCTCCAATCCTTTTGACTTCCGGTCGAATCCCCAAAAACGCATCGCCATTCCTTGAGCCCCATTGATGTTTCCGTTTCCGGCCCCTCCTTTGTTCGCCATCCCAATGACAACCCCAACACTCCAACCCCATAACCCCATCCAACTCCAATCCTAACCTCCACTTCTGACTCGCCCACAAACTACATCCATAACCCACCTCTAAAAATCGATCAACAATGGCCATAACCCAACCAATCCTGATCGCCTCCGCTTCCTCCGCCTCCTCCTCCGCCTCTTCGTCCTCCGGCTTCTCCTCTGACGAAGACACCGATATCTCCCAGCCGCAACCCGACTACTACACCACCACCTCTCCCACCGACCATACCTACTCCTCCTACCTCGCAGCAAAAGAACAGCACTCGCACGACTCCCCACCCCGGCGCGCCAGTCTCGCCAGCATCGCATCACGCAGGCACTCCGCCTCTAGCTATGACTCCTCCGTGTTCTCATGGCTAGAGAAGGTCGTCACCTCTGTCTTGAAAGGGTTCTACTACTGGGGGATTCTCTGTGTCAGTTGGATGGTTATCAAGTTGCTGCACGAGAGGTATGGAGAGTCGATGAGCTGGGAACATGGGATTGCGGGTTTCGACTGGAGGAGGCTGTTGGCGGATGTTAGGGGGATTTGGGGGACGGCGGGGGCTGGGGATGGGTTGACGGAGGTGCAGAGGACGTTTTTGGAGTGGTTGCCCTGTGAGCGCGGGCAGGGGGGGGCGTGGTTTTGTAAGTAGGAGGGGAGAGGGGTTGGGAGGTTGGAATGTGGGGAGAGTTGCCGGGCTGGAATGTGCGGAAAGTTGCGTTGAAGAGTGGCGGACGAGCTGGGGGGTAGACAACGTTCTTTGAAAGGATGGTGGTTCTGGATGAAGAGGTAGAAATGGATTTCCTAGATGTTTAGAGAGTTCGAAGAGTCGTTTTCTCGCAAAAATGGACCTTCTGAAATATCATGTTCTCTGAAACTACGTTATCGTCTTTGGTTCGTGTTCAGTTGCGTACATTTTCTTGAAAGTATGTTCTAGATCTTCAGATATTGGTGGATGTCGAAAACTCAGCTTGTCGTTCCGTTTGCGGCCATCTCTGCGTGTATCGGGTATAAGAGGCAGTGATATTGGGCTTTCGAAGGAGAAACAACTCGAAGACCACTAACGACAATCAATGTTCTGCTCATCGATATCGCCCATCTTGGTACAACTACTAGCCTCCCACTGTCACCTTGACCTTGGTCCCTTTCCCTCTCGCGGCAAACTCCTCCACAAACCACTTCTCCAACTCCCAGAATATTTGATATTCGTCCCTGTTGAGCACCTCGTAGTGATACCGCCAACCATAGAAATGTAGATGCAATATCCCCAACCCTTCTACATCGAGCAGACTCCGTAAGCGATACCTCTCTACAACGCCGCCTAACGGAAACGGATCCCAGTGGTAGGTGCAGAACGTGAGCCTCACTTCTTTTAACGCCGGACAACGACGGACAAACTCCATATGATACGCGGCGTCCTTATACTGTCTATTCCTATCAACAAAATCATAGCTTAAATCCCCAACGAGGCACATTTGTGGAAATTCGAGATATCGGATGTCCTTGAAAGCATTCCTTCCGGAAAGCGCCATCAACCACGCCGTAAGTCTTCGCGTGTAGTGGTCCCCATGTAGCTCGAACCGGAAGGTTTTTATAAAGACAGGCATGGCTTCGTGCCTGATCTGTCGGTTGGCGTGGCAGAGACTTGGGATGAATCCGGCCGGGTATACGAGTGGCTTGTATCGTGGCGATTTGAGTATCAATCGAGGCGTGTAAGTGTCGGGTCGAGTAGGCGTGTAAGTGTCGGG